GCTGACTGCACGAGCGTGCATCCAAGCACTCGTTTTCCGGCTCACATCTCGTCTTATTAACCAGCTAAATAACTGCCGTTTGCTTTTCGTAAGGACAATTTGGGAACAAATACTCTTTTTTTTATTTCTAGAGAGGAAAAAAAGCATCCAAGAATTATGAGAGGCCGGAGTAAATTATTACAATTAATTCTGCTAAGAACACAGAGGCTGATAAAGCCATAAGAAGTTGGTAAAATCATAACAAAAAATTGGCCAACGCTCCAACTACTGTTGCGAAAATGTGCAGTTCATTTGCCACTTTCGGTCGCTAACGGCACTGTCTTTCCTGGGAAATATTTCTAGCCAAAAGAATTGAGACTGGACACTTTGAATGTCAGAAATCATTACAATGACCCCCAATCGCTGCTCAAAAAATTCAGCACTCCAGCTACGCTGACTGCAGAGTTGCATCAAATCTCACGTGCTGGCACATGAGTGGTAATGCAAATGCTACCATCGCGCGCATTTGCTCAAACGTGGTCCTAGGACACGTTTAGAAAATTTCGTCGCTCTAATCGTTGTTCTTGCAGAGCTGCATCAAAATTCATTTGTGCGTAAATGGGAAATACATAAGTGATGAAATGAGTGTGAAAGTCATTTTTACGCCCATCTTGTCAAACGACGCCGCCGGTTACACCCGGAAAGTTCCAGTCCTGTAGCTGCTTTAGTTCTGAACTTACAAAACTGCCTGTGTAAAATTTTCACGTGTCCGTGCGTGAGATACAGAGGGACTGGAAAGCTCAATTTCCTTTCACGGGCATATCAGTGGGTGTCAAGCAACGCTGCAGAATTACAGATCTCTACAACTTCTTGGCTAATTTAGATCTGGAGTTGTCACGATGTTAATTCGAATCCTAACATGTGCGTACGTGAGAGCTAAAGCGCTTGAGGGCTGAATCTGAAATCTTTTGATTAGACGTGGCCAAGGAATATCTTTGTAAAGTTATAGCCTTCCAGCTTGCGCCACTCTCGAAATCGTTTTTGCGCTAAAGAAATAGAATAGAAGGATTCACTTGAATGTTTGTGTATGAAGGCATTTTATGATGCAGTCTGTGTTTCATCCCTAGGCTGTATACACAGACCGAACTATGCATGCGGGTAGGAGCGTCAATCATCAATACAGCATCCTTCTCACCATGTTTTGAGTAGCCATATAACTAATCTGCAAGACGGATAAGAGGAAAAAGGAGCAAATAAAAAGAAAGAGGAAAAAAAGAAGGAAAGTTAACAGGTGATACGGACAATCATTATATGTAATTATTGGGAAGAGTTTTTTATGAGAATAAACTGCTAACTATGCGTTTAGTTTCTGT